TATGAAATTACATTACCGAAAAAAAAAACACAAGTTGTAGGTTAGCAAGTTCACTCAAGTAAACTGGTAAGTCCTCTTCATCCCTAGGTGGACACTGCAGACTTCAGCAGCCCCCGGGAAATGCACAGAGCTCTTGCCTGGGGTTCCTTTTATTCTACTGGCAAATAGATATCTCTCTCCCCAACAGGGGATGTGAGCCCCTGCGTTCAGAAACCCTACTGAACTTGTTACAGTTCCAAGCCCATAGCAGACTACTTGTAATTTTGTTTATTTCTTTTGGGTGTTGGGTGTTGGGTGCGGAACCAGGGCCTTGGGCATGGCAAGCATGTGCTCTACCACTGAGCTACCCTCTGGCCAACTACTATCCATTTCAACTAACATGGAGAGATTACCCAGAGAACAAATTTGCAGGTCCTGGTTGGAGAAAACCTTTCCATTTCTTTTGCTTGGACTCTGCAGTATTTTCGCAGATGATCTCTCCATGGCTTTCTCATGATGTAACTAAACCAGAAAAGATAAAGAAGAAACTGCCTAGATAAGAAAGCTAAAGCAATTGCAGTGGGAATGAAGCAGGGTGAAACAAGTAGCCCTGATCATGATAAGGCTCTAAGGCAAGTGGAGACAAGAAAGCAATGTAACTAGAAATGAACAGAGGAAATAAACCAAGTGCAATGAAAATACAGGCAAAGAGTTCATAGGAAAGGAAAAAGAATTCAAAGAATAAAATCTGTTAAAATGATACAGGGTAAGTACAGGTTTCAGTGTATAAAAACCCAACCAATGGAAGAAGATGTGTACTTGGCAATAGCAGTTCTGTGTTTCGCCTTTGATGTGGAAACAATTTCAGCCTAACAGACTAAGCCAGACCTGTAAGTTTAGTATTCCTGCAAGATTCTGTGGAAAGAACTCCACCGAAGACCGGGTGCTGCAGTGAGGGCAGGAAGCAGCTGGGACCCACCCGGAATAGCCCTCTTGGAGGCTGGAGTGTGTGAGCCCCAGACCACGGTGCGTGGACGGCCCAGGGAGAAACCATCCCATCCAGCCTGCTTTCTGTGGAGCTGTCACTGACACCCACACAGACTGAAAAGGTGGGACTGCAGTAACCTGGCAGAGAGGTGGGGCTGTAGGAAACTTGTTCAACTAGAGATGGCACCATGGCTGCCTTCTAAGTCACCCTCTTCCTGGCACTTGCAGATCTTCGGCTGGCATGGGTGTGTCCGGTCTGCTCTGCACAGTCCTCTCTTGTCCTGGGGATGCAGGGTACTTGGCTGTGCTGAGCTGCACAGCTGAGACGCTTCCAAGCACAGCGCTTTCCCATCAGCCACGCACACTCTGCTGTCCTGGCAGAATCAAGGTGGGCACAGAGGTGGTGGTGGGGAGGATGGACCTGCAGAGCCCTAGCAGGCTTGGCAGAGCAGCACAGGAAGTTCATCAGTGGAAGGGAAGGAGCAGGGTGGGCCACCGTCTTGGGCAGGCCCTGTCTTTGCACCTCCTCCCAGTGGTGGTGGGATCTATGCATTGCTGTCTGGGGAAAGTGCTTCAAGTTTGGGGCTGGCGATGTAGAACAAGCCAATAGGAGACTCAAAGACCCACTGGCCTGTTGGTTGTGCCAACTCTGGAGTGAGGGACTATCTTAATTTCCTACTACTGCTGTGAAAATTATAAGTTTACAATACACTGATAAGGAGAATGAAGAGGACATCAGAAAATGGAGATATCCTCTGTCGCAGGATAGGTAGAGCCAATATAGTCCAAAATAGCCATACTTCCAAAACCGATAGACAGATTTAATGCAATCTCAATTAAATTTCAATAGCATTCCTCACATTACTAGGGAAAACAATCTGAAAATCCATATGGAATTAGAGGAGACCCAAAATAGTGAAAACAAGAGCAAAGTGGGTGGGAGGCATCACAGTCCTGGATTTCAAGTTATATTATGAAGCTGTAATGATAAAAAGAGCATGGCATTCACACACACACACACACACACACACACACACACACACACACACAAAGACATATGGATCAATGGAGCAGAATAGAGGAAGCAGAAACAACCCCAGGCACATTCAACTATCTGATCTTTGACAAAGGGGCCAACAAGATACACAGGAAGAAAAACAGTTTCTTTAAAAAATGGTGCTGGGAAAACTGGCTATCCACATGCAGAAGATTGAATCTAGATCCATATCTCTCACTATGTACAAAACTAAAATCAAAATAGATAAAAGATTTAAATGTTAAAATAAACAATTTGCTGGAAGATAAAATAGGTAAAACTCTTGAAGACTTGAGCTTGGCCAGCACTTTCTGAACAGAACCCAACTGCACAAGAAATGACACCAAGAATGAATAAATGGAATCATATCAAAAGCTTCTGCATAGCAAAGGAAATAGCTAACAGAGTGAGGAGACAACCTAAAGAATGGGAATAAATTATACCTGTTATTCCTTGGACAGAGGACTAGCATCTGGAATATATAGAGAACTAAAAAAAGTTAGAACATCCCAAAATAAAAGATCCAATGAAAACGGGCAACTGAAATGAATATTCTTTTCAGAAGAAGGAGGAGAAGGAAGAGGAGGAAGAAGAAGAAGAGGGAGCAGCAGCAGCATAAATGACCAATAAATACCTGAAAAAATGTTCAACATCTCTGACCATTAGAGAAATGCAAATTATAACAACACTGAAATTCCATCTTACCCTAGGAAGAATGGGCATCATCAAGATATCAAATAACAACAAAAGCTGGCAAGGCTGCAGGGGCTAAAGTAACCCTTCTCCACTCTTGGTGGGAAGGTAAACTAGTACCACTACTATGGAAATCAGCATGGAGAGTTCTCAGAAAACTGAAACTAGAAATTCCATTGGACCCCCTTTTCCCTTTTAAGGTGCCTTCCTGAAAGAGTTAGAAACATAATATTATAGAGATATATGCACACCCATGTTTATAGCAGCACAGTTCAAAATAGCTAAATCTTGGAAATGGCCTATATGCTCATCCACAGATGAATAGATAAAGGAAATGTGGTATTTATACACAATAGGGTAATTCCATGCCATAAAGAAAGATAAACTTCTAGGAAAATGGATGTGCCTTGAGACCATAATGTGAAGTAAAATAAATCAGACACACAAGCTTGAATATTGCATGGTTTCTCTTATGTAAGTGTTATGGCTTATATGTAGATATTCCCACAAAGTTTCATGGAGTCATAGATGGAGCTTTTTGGAGGTGGCTGGATCTAGAGTGTGTGATGCTGGGATTAAAGATGTGATGCTGGGATTGTCTCAAGGTGTGATGCTAGGATTAAGGGTGCCCTACCCTGGGTTTGAGGGTAGAGTATAAGGATAGAATGTAGGGATAGAATATAGAATGTGTTCTGTAGACTATAGAGATAGACTGTAAGGGACAGAAAGAGGGCTGCTCTTGGAGTTGCTCACTGCCTTCTGCCGGCCGTGCTTTGCCATGAACTGTTTCTCCTCTGCCATGCCACTCTGCCTTGGAGCCAGCCAACTATGAACTGAAACTTCTACAAACTGTGAGCTACAGTAAAACTTTTCTCCTTTAACTGTGGGTGTTAGATATTTTGCCTCAGCAATGACAAAAGTAACTAAGACAATGAGAAACCAAAGTATAAATAAAGAAAAAATAAAAGATAACAGCAAGTAGGGAGATAGATCTTTTGCAAAAGAGAAGAGGACCAAGTGATGGAGGGGGAGGGGGAAAGGGAGAGAAAGAGAATGAGAAAAGAGGGAAGATGTGTTGTGCACCTGTACCGACCCCACCCGAGGACTGTAAACATTATCAGATGCAAACGTGGACTACTGGAAATAAAAATTTTAAGCATTGCAGGTTTAGTACCTGTGGAGTTCAGAACTCTGAAATGAATACATGCAACTAAAATCGAGCTGTCAGCACCTAAAAGTTTGTTCTGGAGGCTCCAGGGGGGAACAGCACTTTTCCCGCTTCTAGGGACCGTCTACCTCCCCTGAACTCTGGCTCCTTTTCCCAGAG